AGGGGGTTGAATAATTTTGGGAGCGGAGAAGCCATTCTAAGTTGCATTTTAGCTGAATGTGGGGAAACCACTTGAAGCATTATTTGTGCTAATCTATTTCAAGTGCTTTTGTTTGATTTGTTAATTGCACACAGCTGAAAGTCTGTACATTTTGACAATAGACCTGATTTTCAATGGGGGTTAAATAAGTTTTATTATAACTGTATATAGAGTAACGGTTTTGATTACTGGTAGGATTTATAGTTTATATTAATAATATTTCTGTTATTAACCCCTTAAGGATTGAGCCAAATGTACACGTTGTGATCAAAACAAAACGTAAACAAAACTTTAATTTGCGCTATAAGTCTGTTCAGGCGTAATTCGCCTCTTTCATATTATGTGCACCCACACTTATTATATATCATTTTATTCAGGGGAAACAGGGCTTTCATTTAACATTAAATATTTAGGTATAAAACATAATTTAATATGAATAAAATATTTAAAAATGGGAGACAATAAGAATTTAAAAAAAATGTTTAGTTCTACCTGACATTCTAACTGTGACTGTCATAATACCGTTTGCTTATACTGCAATAAAATACACATATTTGTATTCAGCGATGTCTCATGTGTAAAACAGTACCCCCTATGTATAAGTTTTATGGTGTTTTGGAAAGTTACAGGGTCAAATATAGCATGTTAAATTTTTTAGTTTTTTCACATTGAAATTCGCCAGATTGGTTACGTTGCCTTTGAGAGCGTATGGTAGCCCAGGAATGAGAATTACGCCCATGATGGCATACCATTTACAATAGTAGACAACCCAAGGTATTGCTTGTGACTAAGTGGCTACTAAAAAAGACTGAACATACCCCATTTGCAAGACCTTGGGTTGTCTACTTTTGCAAATGGTATGTCATCATGGGGGTAATTCTTATTCCTGGGCTACCATACGGTCTCAAAGGCAACATAACCAATCTGGCGAATTTCAATGTGAAAAAACTGAAACGCAAGCCTTATATTTGACTCTGTAACTTTTGAAAACACCATAAAACCTGTACATGGGGGGTACTGTTATACTCAGGAGACTTTGCTGAACACACCTTTTACTGTTTTGAAACACAAATATTTATCGCAGCAATGATATCGTCAGTGTAAGTGCCGTTTATGTGTGAAAAATGCAAAAAAACTTCACTTTTACTGATATCATCGTTGTAATACATATTATGGTTTTGAAACACAAATATTTGTGTTCAGCGATGTCTCTCGAGTAAAACAGTGCCCCCCATGTAAAGGTTTTATGGTGTCATGGAAAGTTATAGGGTTAAATATAGTGCTAGCAAATTAAATTCCCTTTACTTTCGGCATGGGTTGTCAGGCAGGTGCCGCAAATTGTAATTAATAAAAGGACCTAATTATGTTAAATTATTATATAAATATATATATATATATATATGTGTGTGTGTGTATATAATTTTTTAAAATTATTTTTATTTATATATAGGTATACATATATATTATTTCGTTCTATGTGTATTTTGATATCAATATATATATTATCAAAATACAGTTAGAACGAAATTACATATATATATATTAATTATTTTTTTATTTTTTTACGTATTTACATATTTTTTATATATATATATAGAAAATCCAAGTAGATGGTGTAACGGACCGTTTTGCACAAAAGGGGAAAAAAACCGCTTAGACGATAATCCCCCTTTCAGAGACAGGCACAGCTACTGTAGAATCACCAAAACTCATGAACTGAATACAAGTGAATGCTCCAAACTCCCGAACGGCATACAAGGGAATGCTCCAAACACTCGAACTGCATACAAGGGAATGGTCCAAACACTCGAACTGCATACAAGTGAATGCTCCAAACTCCCGAGCGGCATACAAGGGAATAAGGTAGCACTCCAAATACACGAACAGGAACCATACGAATTGCTGCTACCAGACGAACAGGAAAAGCTCCCAAGCGGCTTACACACCTGGCAATCAGTCCTTAGCAGCATACAGTAAATCCCCCCAAAGACGAGACAAGGCTCCGTGTTGAGGGTCAAGCAGTGGTCTGAGGTGCTGGCACACCCAGCCTGGTTTTTATTACAGTGTTTTCAAATACAGGACCGCCCACAGGGAGGTATAAAACAACCAATAACATCACAGTTACATCCCACATATTCCCTCCCCTTATCCTGAGAGGAAACTCAATTATACATACAATTAAAACATACTTTCTACCCAACTTTCATAACTCTAAAACCATACATCACATTCACATAAAATTACATATGCACAATCAATCCATTCAGGGGAACAACATATTCAAAAATGGCACAAATCAGACAAGGGGTTCAAAGTTAGTAAAAAGTCCTTTGTGACTAAATGAAGCATGGCTTTCTGGCCCAAACCAGTTTCAGAGTCTTCTATCCTGGAGATAAGTAATTCAATTATCTCCCAGGACAGACACAAGACTCCATTAAGCACATGGTTGCAAAAGACACAAAACACTTTAAAATACATAAAGTCACATTTTACACATAACACACAGACATTTCACATATCCCCAGATAGCTCAGGTCTGAGCGCACATTATTAAGTGAATGGCGCTCGGACCACACAAATACAGTTTAATCACCATGGAGCCAAAGTCTTTACAGTCAGTTTCATACGAATGGGCTCCATGGGATTCCCATCTGGGGTATAACACATTCAAACAAATCTACTGAAACCCAGGCAGAAAAGCACAAATACAGCTTTTCTGCAGGCAAAAATAAAGTCTTTTAAAAGGGGGCCATAGTCCAAAGGCAGCAGGCGAGCAACCAGGCTTCTCCAATGCAATGTGGCGAGATTGGTCTCGTCACATCTCTCCCCTTTTCCAAACAGACTAACAGGGTATCTGACCTCCTGCCGGTCAGTGCCCTTGTTAGTCCAGCAGCCCACCCACAACAAATAATCCACAGCACAGCCCACCCACAATAAATGGTTACTACACCTGGGTAGAGAAGAAGCTTGTCCATGTCCAGGTGCCTCACCATGGCTGTGCTGGGTACGGGTACGCTGACTTGGTGGGTTGCTGCGTGGGCAGAGACCAGCGGCACTCTGCCCTGTTGCCAGCGCTACTGGGAGGGTAGCCTGGTGGAAGCCTGGTTGTTGGAGGGGGAGACCGACTGTCTCCCCTTTAAATACACCGCTCTGCTGCTGCTGCTGGAGACCCACCGCCTCCCTTTGGTTACCCATCTCTGCTGTTGGAGGGGGAGACCGACAGTCTCCCTACAACAGCCTGTCGCTGGGGGGCAGAACCTAATCGCCCCTACCCCCTGTGCTGGCAGTGTAGAGACTACGGTCCCATCTGCACGGTTGTGGGGCTTACTGTCTCCCCCTGGTACATTAAGCTGCCGCTGGGGAGAGGGGGTAACAAACTCCTCTCCCATACATACTTCCAGCTGTGGGGGAGGGAGACCGACTGTCTCTGCTCCCAATACAGAGTCCTGCTGCTGGGGAAAGGAGACTGGGCTCTCTATTCCCAGTAGGACACTCTGCCGTTGAGGAATGGAGACTGGGCTCCCTATTCCCTGCGTATCACACTGCCGCTGGGGAATGGAGACTGGGCTCCCAATTCCCTGCAATTCATTCTGCTGCTGGGGGACAGGAGCAACTATCTCTGTCCCCTGTAACTCAGCCTGCCGCTGGGGAATGGAGACTAGGCTCCCAATTCCCTGCAATATCTCCCGCTGGGGAATGGAGCTCGGGCTCCCAATTCCCTGCAATTTCTCCCGCTGGGGAATGGAGCTCGGGCTCCCCATTCCCTGCAATTCATTCTGCTGCTGGGGGACAGGAGCGACTATCTCTGTCCCCTGTAACTCAGCCTGCCGCTGGGGAATGGAGCTCAGGCTCCCAATTCCCTGCAATATCTCCCGCTGGGGAATGGAGACTGGGCTCCCAATTCCCTGCAATTCCCTCTCCCGCTGGGGAATGGAGACTGGGCTCCCAATTCCCTGCAATATCTCCCGCTGGGGAATGGAGCTCGGGCTCCCAATTCCCTGCAATTTCTCCCGCTGGGGAATGGAGACTGGGCTCCCAATTCCCTGCAATTCACTCTGCCGCTGGGGAATGGAGACTGTGCTCCCAATTCCCTGCATATCACACTGCCGCTGGGGAATGGAGACTGGGCTCCCAATTCCCTGCAGTACCTGTCGCTGGAGTTCTTCCCAACGTGCCAGCTGACCTTCTCTTTCTGCCCGGTGTTGCAGATTCTTGAACACTAGATTCCTTATAAGCTGCACCGATTTCTCCGGTGGATTGGGTCCGTAGTACTTCAGCCGCAATCCCATCATATTGTCAAACTCTCTCCTTGAGTAGCTGTACGCCACTGCTGGTTCCATGCTGTTGCTGTCAGGGTCGCTGTACTGGGACATGCGTTGCCCTCCAATTGTAAATCCACGGAATGGTGTCTCCTGTAGCTGTCCTGTAGTCTGTGGGAACAATCCCACCGCTGCCACCAATTGTAACGGACCGTTTTGCACAAAAGGGGAAAAAAACCGCTTAGACGATAATCCCCCTTTCAGAGACAGGCACAGCTACTGTAGAATCACCAAAACTCATGAACTGAATACAAGTGAATGCTCCAAACTCCCGAACGGCATACAAGGGAATGCTCCAAACACTCGAACTGCATACAAGGGAATGGTCCAAACACTCGAACTGCATACAAGTGAATGCTCCAAACTCCCGAGCGGCATACAAGGGAATAAGGTAGCACTCCAAATACACGAACAGGAACCATACGAATTGCTGCTACCAGACGAACAGGAAAAGCTCCCAAGCGGCTTACACTCCTGGCAATCAGTCCTTAGCAGCATACAGTAAATCCCCCCCAAAGACGAGACAAGGCTCCGTGTTGAGGGTCAAGCAGTGGTCTGAGGTGCTGGCACACCCAGCCTGGTTTTTATTACAGTGTTTTCAAATACAGGACCGCCCACAGGGAGGTATAAAACAACCAATAACATCACAGTTACACCCCACATATTCCCTCCCCTTATCCTGAGAGGAAACTCAATTATACATACAGTTAAAACATACTTTCTACCCAACTTTCATAACTCCAAAACCATACATCACATTCACATAAAATTACATATACACAATCAATCCATTCAGGGGAACAACATATTCAAAAATGGCACAAATCAGACAAGGGGTTCAAAAGTTAGTAAAAAGTCCTTTGTGACTAAATGAAGCATGGCTTTCTGGCCTAAACCAGTTTCAGAGTCTTCTATCCTGGAGATAAGTAATTCAATTATCTCCCAGGACAGACACAAGACTCCATTAAGCACATGGTTGCAAAAGACACAAAACACTTTAAAATACATAAAGTCACATTTTACACATAGCACACAGACATTTCACATATCCCCAGATAGCTCAGGTCTGAGCGCACATTATTAAGTGAATGGCGCTCGGACCACACAAATACAGTTTAATCGCCATGGAGCCAAAGTCTTTACAGTCAGTTTCATACGAATGGGCTCCATGGGATTCTATCTGGGGTATAACACATTCAAACAAATCTACTGAACCCCAGGCAGAAAAGCACGAATACAGCTTTTCAGCAGGCAAAAATAAAGTCTTTTAAAAGGGGGCCATAGTCCAAAGGCAGCAGGCGAGCAACCAGGCTTCTCCAATGCAATGTGGCGAGATTGGTCTCGTCACAGATGGCTGCACTCACGGTTTTGTATAAAAGTCCAAAGTTTATTGAAGAAACATAAAATAATTTGCGATCAACGTTTCAGTCCTTCTAAGAGGACTTTCATCAGGATCATGAAGAAAGTCCTCTTAGAAGGAAATTTAATCAATATCCTTCTACGTGTATTTTGATAATATATATATATATATATATTGGAGTCTAGGCTATGGCACCTGGAAAACTGGAAATTTATTAAGCATGAGTGCGGGGGATATTGTTTTTTTTATATATATATATATATATATATATATATATATATATATATATGATCTAAGTATATTTTATTTGCAACTGTAATTTATTTATTTATTTTTTTAACTAATATTTTGAGAGCCTGTCACTGCGATCAGACAGTGCAGATCACGGTCACTGACCCCAGGGGGACTGCCTGGGGGGCCAGGTATGTCCCCTGACTGCGATCTGCACAGGGGAAAGCCGCCGTCCACGTGTGTCAGCCGATTTGAAATCGGCTGACACACTGTAAATACTGATCGCAGTGACAGCCTGTCACTGCGATCAGAGACTGCAGATCGCAGTCACCGGCCACAGGGGGGTTACCTGGGGGGCCAGGCATCCCACCCGACCGCGATCTGCAGCGGGTGATTAGCGCCGGCCACGTGGATGCCCATTATAGCGAGGGCGTACTATTACGCCCGCCGGCGTTTAGAGCCAGCTCCTGCAGGGCGTTATAGTACGCCCTCCGGATTTAAGGGGTTAAATATGCATTAATTCACAATAGAATTTGGAAATGTACACCCTATAACAAAAAATAATGTTATCATAATTATATTGCAAAAGAGAAGACCTGTGATAAAAGGAACTCAGTTTGGCGCTGTGCCAGGTCTCTGTGAGGTGCTACGATCTTTGCCTTGGGTTTTAACTACACTACACATGATAGCATCCTACTCCTCGATGGCTTACAGACAGAATTCTACTGATAGAATGTTGTAACTGGCAAAAAGCCTCTGCTCTTGGCAGAGAAGCAATAAAAACAAAGTAAATGAAGGGCTTCCTGATAAATATCAGCCTGACTAGAAGGATCTACCTGTATGGCATAAGCTAAGATAATATGAACTCTAGTAGGGAACACCATTCATATAGAACAACAGAAATGATATCACTTGCAATGACGTTAAAGCAATATCTTGACTATGCTACAAAATAGAATAAAATTGTCCATCATACACCAGACCTTCTTTTCCTGCTTGGCTGGTTATAAACATTTTAGAGTCTTAATGTCTTTGCAATGTGTTTTAAAAGAGTTTTAGACAAAAAATAGAGAGAATAGTTTTCACGTGTACCTTTTAACATGTTCAAACACTGAGTTCTATGAATGTGAAATTGAAATAAATTAATACAATTTATCATGAAAGCTGACTGACTTTTACAGTAATAATATGAGACATGAGGGCAATTCTTTAAGATTCTATCGATCTATGCAAATTATCCTTCATTGATGGTCATCTCTGGAAGGTTGAAAGAGTTCTTACAAAGTGAAGTTTGACAGAAGAATTGACTGAACGGTAAAACACTTTACATGAATAAACAAAAACACAATTGTGGAGTCATCAGATCTGTCAGCAAAATCACTCTGCATTTTTACCAAAGTCTAGGCTGTCTAGACATTTCATCACACCGACAGCAAGCGTTCCACGGCTCTCCAGAATCTTCTCGATAAAATATAATAATGCCTTGGGCAATGAACTAGCAGCAGTTTGAAGAGCAGCTCGTATATATTAGTTTATTTATTACATGGTGTTTATTGTCAGTATAAACATAATACATAGTGATAGTTCAATACCCTTTAAAAGCCATCATCTTCTATGTTCCATTTTTACTTACAGTCTTCTAATTCCTGATTTCTGCTCAGGATTCTGGGAACAAAATCTGTCAGTCTGAGGATTTCATACTTGCATTCATTCAGGTTTAATTTGCAATCTGGTAACTCAAACAGGCTTTTTTATTGCTGATGCCAGGCTGTCTACCTGTGATGTTATACTGGATTCTATGTTACGAGAACCAAGTAACGTATACACGTTTTCAGAAAAGTAAACTGCATTTCCAAGTCAATACAAATTCTGCATTTAATATCCACAATTTCCAGTTAATTATGGGATTAACTTTATCAGATTGTCTTGAAAACAGAGCCGACTGACTGCAACGCAATAGTAATTTTGGACTGACGATGGTCTGCTTGAATATAGTTTAAATTATTTCTCTATATTTTCAGGGTTACACTTTTTTATTTGTTTGTTTTCAACTCTTTTTCTGGATGCTTTCTCTTTGGGATCCATGAGGTTGTTTTAGGACAAGAGAGAAAAGAACCAAAAATGTAACGTTTTTTTTAATTATTATTATTTAATTTAGAATTTATATTTACATTCTATAGTAATGCCAAAAAAAAAAAAACACCTAACACGAGGGACAGAAATAAGATAATCTAAATATGTACAAAGTATTACTCTATTTCTTTCCGTAATCAGCAGGAAGAAAATGGAATTTGCTTTTTTTTCCTGAGTGATACCAGAGTATGCAATTGGATATCATTTAATTTTAACTTTTCCAAATCTAATTAACTTGTGCAGCAGAAACCAAGAATGGAACAGCTGTTATTATGTCCTGCCTTATTCAGTGTTTGCTTGTTGTTGCAAATTCAGTGAAGCTCCACGTTATACAATGCTGTATCCTCTTTGCCCTCTTCCTTTTATAGTGGGATACAATAACGTAATTGGAACACATAAAGAGCTATTCAAGGATTCTCATATGGTTTTTAGATCCCAGGAAGTTTCTATAGTAAGTGTACTGTCAATGTCAAACAGTAAATATCTGGAATCCTACAAACTAGAAACTGAAGTGTAGGCTTGTGGAGTGTGAAAACCATTCTGGTTAGTGTCTGATATCTCTGAGATACCTTAACCCATGAAATGCTTGGATTATTTTAGTTATTGTCATTATTTTCAGCATCATCCTTACTGTGGAGCTGACACACAAGTTAAAATATTAAAAGTGACAAAGTTTATTAAAGTAAGAATCAATAAATCGATTAGTCTAGAACCAGTGAAGCCACCCATGATCTACATTGCTGGGTAGTGACAATTGTGCAGTTATTCTCGTAAATAAACCTGTAATCTTAGAAAAGGTTACTCCACGGTTGTTTTATTAAAACACTATTTTTGTTGGAGTAACACATATCTACAGGATGGCCATTCTCATTACCCACTGTTGCAATATTGTATCAGATTCTGTGACTCTTGCCTTGTTTCTAGAAGCTCCTGTTTCTTGGTTTTACCAATGCAGGATTTTCTTTGGAAGGATCCCGTGAAAGGACCCGGTAGGGTAGGATGCATTTTCTTGGGGTGCTGTCACGGCTGCTAGTGTGGTCCAACACGCAGAAACTATGTAAACATATAAATAAAAAAGGAAAGGAAATAAAAGGACAGAGCGTAAACCGGACCTTACAATGGTCAGACTAATATGCTAGAGATAGAGAATGGTCAAAGGGAAAGCCGAGGTCAAGGAAGCCAGAAATACTCAGATACCGTTGAAACAAGCCAAGTCAGGGGAACCAGAATTCGGAATAACCAGGGAAAAGCCAAGATCAGGATACCAGGAAGTAATATTCACAAAGATAAACGCACTCTCAGGAACCAGGAACAGGAAACCACGACAGGGCAAGGAACTGGAGTGAATTAGGGATTTAAATATTCCTCTCTGGGCTCTGATTGGTCAGAGGGTGACCTCTGACCCCAGAACGTGCGTGTGCGTTGACGTCGTGACGTCATGCGCACGTCCGTATAAATTTGAGGGGCGGAGCTTGTGGTGTGCGCGACCACGTGGTCAGCGTCATCTTTCATTTGGGCGCAACGCCCAGAAGACGCGGAGGAGCGGTTCCCAGCTCGCCGGCGAGCAGGTAAGCTCGCAATATCAGCGAAGTCATGCCGGTCTGGCACGGATGCGCCATGCGGCGGGCCGGGAGCTGCAACAGGTGCCCAGTGTGTGTACGTTTTGATTTGGCCATGAAGTCTGCAATGACAAGAGTCCTTGGTAAAGATAAGCTGGAGCTCCAAGGCGACACAGTTTGGATGATGGATTATACTTTCACACTGTTTATTCATGAATCCATTAACATGAATGATATTTCAGATTTCTTTATAACATCATCTGGGTCTAGTAGATAAACTATTTAGGCCTAAAACTGCAGGGTTCAGACATGGTCTAAAGCATGTGCGGTTCTGATGAGACTTTTTGAGCAGAT